ACTTCTGTGAGTGTGCCAGCCTCCTACACTCCTGACACAGTGTGCCTGCATCCTCACACTGCTGCCTCCATGCTTCCCTCCAGGAGAATCATCCTCTCCAACCCTGAGTTGACGCAAACCTTTCCTACCTGCCTTTCCTACCTGTGATGTTTTCTGTCAGGTATTTGGCCAGCAACCAGAGAAGTAACTAAGTAAAGACACTCCACACTCTGGGCTGCTGCATTGTCAAGTCATGCTTCCTTCCTTTCTTGGTTTGGTGTTTGTTTTTGAGATAGAGTCTCATTGTATAGCCCTGACTGTTATGGAACCAGCAATGTAGATGTGTAGGAAGAAACTAGAAATAGATTTTGTGTTGTCATTGGCTTTACAGTAGTTCATCTGACAACGAACTGAGTTAGGAGTTGTGGCCTACCAACAGATGTCTCAGTGAGCCATCTGAGTGAGGTAGGCCATGCACATCTTCCTGGTCACACAGTGTCATGAGCGTAGTCATGTCTTGCATCTTTATGTCAGGTTCATGAGAAACTGCAAGCTAGTGAACTTGACTACACTATGCCAAGAGGCCCGAGACATGTGAGGGAACACTTATTCATTGTTATAAACTGGCAAATTTGTCATTCAACATTACATTGATATAAACTGGCAAAATTGCCATTCAACATTATATAGCTATTACCTTGAATGCATTTTAAATTATGTAAAGCTTATAACACGAGCTTCTGCTTTAAATAGGACGGTGGTGCTGTCATTGTGAAAATGCTTTTCTCCCGAAAGAATGCAGGTTAACAGAATATATTCGGCAAATGGGGTAGATTTGAATCTAGATGTAAGAAATACTACTATTTTTTTTTATCTTTTTCAAATAACAAGCAATGCATACTATATTTCAAAGTATTTTTTTAACAGTTCTGTAAACCCACACGAGTTATTCTGTTGCAGTTTTTATTTGATTCACCTGAATTAATTAATTCACCTGACTCTGAATTAGCACACTTGCCAATCATTAACAGAAGAAACTGGTGTGACTTTAACAAAAGAGGGTGAAAGCAGCAGTTTGCTCACAACTCCTGATGTCTCCTGGGTGTGTGTACAAGAGAAAGATGATTATTGCACACATTTTTGCTAATAGAAAGGAAAAGAGGGAAGTGATTGTTCAAAGAAAGAAGCACATGGTCATGATCTCCGAAGGGGAAACTGAAATCCGATAGAGGCTGAAGGTATCCAGCTGGAACTTGGCTTCCCTTTAATACCATGTCAAAAACTCTTCCTTCCACTGGAGTCTCCGCTATACAAACATGGCCCATTTGCTGTACAGATACTTTCTTTTTTGTTCTTTGTGCTAATGTTCCCCATATGTATGATCCAACTTCACACATCCTCACACTCATTCTGCCTCTATTGGCATGGTCTCCGTTTGCCAGCCATATGTAACTGTGCCTGCATCACTTCCAAGCCCAATTTAAAGTCTGAAATGTATCCTTCCCTGCACTTTGTATTTTTATACCTTTGGAACTTGACAAAAGTTTCTCCATCAAAATACGACTGATCTTCTTTACTCTGCAGATAAGAAAATTTAAAGACTTGTTGCCTTCTAATTTTTGCATTGTTAGCCAAATTCTCCCCTCAGAGTAGGCAGAGGTACAGCAGTGTCTCATCAAATTCCCTTTTTTGGTCCTACAAGAATATCCTAGTACACAGGTCACATGATCTTGGGGAACTGGATTGCAACAGTTGATTCTCCTTTGTGTTTTTTTAGCTAACTCTTTGCCGGCAATCTCCATTGACTCAAGAATGGTACTCTAGCAAGAGGCTGTTTGTTACTATAGGTAAAAAGATTTGCCACAGGGAGCCTGACACAATTTGTGAATAATGAAATTACTTGGAGTGATTGCCTCCCAACTAAAATTGCTTTAGAAAATTTATCTGGTGACTATGCATACAAAAACAGTTCTATAAAAGTTATATATTGCCTCTTAGGTCACCAACTAGGACACAATGCCTAGTCCCAGTTGGGTCTTCTTGCCTTTCCTGTGCCTTCTCTAATTTCTAAGATCCAGATCGAGTGGATCTGAAGTGTCCTTGCCTGTGTTTGATATGGACATCGCAACAAATCATGTTGCTGTGGCAATACTCACAGTTTCTCTCTTTCTGCACACTGCCAGGACCAAATTTCATTTTAATTTTTTAATGATTTATTTTCTTGGACATTTAGTTCTTATTTTGACTTCTCTAGTGTTGATATACTGTACTAAGCACTATTAAAAATTACGACTTTTTTAAAATAGTAGGAAGTCATAAATGGTTTCAATTTCAAATGAGTGATCACTTTGGGTGTGTGTGTCTTATATTTTCATGACAAATATCAAATACCAATTTGATCAATTGACAGTAATGTGATTATTGCACAACTGCATATTTAGAAATTAATTAATAAATAAAAGTGGGCCTTTTAAATGAATTTGAATTTGGATGCTAATTTAGGAAGTTGATGCTTCTTTTTCCTATGTGTATTTGGATTACCTTTGCTTTTTTGAAGTTTCTGCTCTTTACATTGCAAACTACCCAACAGACGTTACATATTTTTCATTCAATCCATGTTAGCTTTTTAGGTTCTAAGTGGAAATTGTATAGTCCAGCCTAAAACACTGGTAGCTTCTTGCTCAGTTGTGGAAACTAAAACCATAGACTCAATTCATAAATTGAGAGAGTGGAGTGGAGTTCCCAGTGGAGCCTGGGAAGAGGAAGGAAGGAGGGTGTTGACAGAGAGCCTGGGGAACAGGGTCAGAGTACAGTTAGACAGGGCGAACTGGTCCCCTTCTCCTATAGAAGATATCAATTGTGGTCTTACTTAAGCTTCTTAGACATATCTAAATAGCTAGTGTTCCAGCACTGCCGTTGTATATGTTCTGTGTTTGACGAGATGGATTGGATCATTAAATCACACATGTGCCTCACATTGCCTTACTCTGCTAATGATGTGCAAACATGTGCCAATTAAAAATGAAAAATAACCATTAGCGCATTAAAATTGTATGCGGTTCATCGGGTCAGGTCTTTTCCTTTGTGCCTGTGTTCCCCTATGTTCCGACATCATTACCACTGTCCACGTCCAAGTCTATTGCTCAGCTTAATGGCGCTGACATGACTTCATGGCTCTCTGAAGTTAGTTTGGGGTATGATGCAAAACAAAGTTCTAAAATATTAACAAAACAGATTTTAGCATTCAAATTTTCAGAATTATCTTATTCACTTTCTAGATTAAGTAGAATATTTGATTAGACTTCAACAGAGTCACTATTAAAAGTGGATACTATTTTAAGGAAGGATTTTTTATTTTTGGACAAATCTTTGATTTATTCAGGGGAAATTTTTCCTGTTGGTAGACACCACAAAACAGGTACTGTGAGGAGGTAAGTAAGAGAAATTAGTACAGGTATCTGAGAAAATGTGAAGTCAGCAGTTTTGGGTTGCAAGACTTAACAAAATTAGTGCATTTAGTTTCCAAAATGGCATAGCTGTGCTGTTTCAAATAAATTAATGGACAATTTGTTCCCCCACAGTAGTTATTTGCCACTCCTCTATTTCCTCCAGTGTTTTTGGTTGGAATATTTATCTCATGAAGAAGAAGGAATTTTTTTCTTTCATGTATATGTGTGTGTGTGTGTGTGTGCATGTATGAAAGAAATATATATGTATGTATGTATGTATGTATGTATGTATGTATGTATACACACACATAGTTTTTTTGTTTGTTTGTTGGGATGGTCCCCAATCACCTTGAATCAGCTACTTTCAGTACTGCTTCCTGCTAAAGGGGCCTCTCCCGTCAGCCTTGCTTTTCTGCCTGTGTGCTGGCAGGACAGTGCAGCTGCTGGGACAAAGGACTGGGGTGATTTCACAGCATCCTGAACCTTTCACATCCATAAAGGAGGAATCGAGGCACTTTTCATTCTGCTTTCTCTTCTCTTCTGGAGAGGTGTGAAGGAGAGCCGTTGTGAGAGGCTTGTTCTCATGGAGAGCAGGAAGATTTCCTGAATGAAGATTGTGTCAGAGATATTTACGTCCACCTTGTTTAGAGTTATCATGACAGAATTTTCTGGGTACTACGCTTGTGCTCATAAATATCTTAGATGACGTACTCCGTATTTAAACAGAAACTTATGAATTTTAGCATTTTAACTCCATGTTAAAATAGCTTGTATAATTAAGCGAACATAAAAAGGCAAGACATCCTCAAAATGCCTTGGAGTTAAACTTGTTTATCAAATGATTTTATATCGATGTTTATGCTTGAATGTACCTTTGTGGTAAAGAACTTGATTACTTAGCATAAAATAGACATGTAAAGTTGTTCAAAGCAATTCAATGTGATTTTGAATATTAAAAGCAAATGTCCTTAAAACAGATACCAAAATACATACATGTATAAATGGAATTTCATGTTAGGATGCACATTAACATTTTCTGTTTTCAGAACTATAAACAATTGCATCTTCTGTGATTCTTAAGTCTCAGTCTCATCAGACTCCCCACTGCTGTGATATGACTGATTCCTTTGTGACAGTCCTGTAGCATCATAGGCCATGCGGCTAGCGACGGAAGCCATTATGTTAGTATTTCCCCTGTAATTATTTTTCATGTCTCTTCCAGAGAACTCCACGAGGCATTTTTCCTGTCAGTACAGGATAATGGAAAGCAATTCTATACTCAAGGGCTTTTAAAAAAATGCAGCATTACTTTAGGCTCATTTGATTTTTGTCTTGCTATATTCATCACACATATAAAAATACAATTTCTGCTTTTCCTCATGAAAAGCGTTTCAGTGCTACTGTGTAGGAAAGACAGAAAACAGTGGAGCGCAACTATCCAGCTCTTTCTTTCCTTCCTTTGTCTTTTTATTCTGTTTTCCTTTCTCTGGCACTGGGAGGGGAGAAGCAAGCAACACTCCTCCCATATGCTTCAACTTTCACGTCTGTTTCGCCGTTATCCATCCTGTTAAGATATAATTAATGAGAGCTTTCCCGAATTTCAAACATCCTGAAAAGCAGCAAATCCCTTCCCTTTGGAGGCTATATTGACTATAACAATAGAAGTGAGGTGGTGCGGGCTTTGGAAGGCTTCAGAAAACCCATCCTTGTGATCTTTGTTCCACCGCTGGGGAAAGAGGACATCCTTGCACGTGCCTGGCATTGTTCATGACAACACTGCAGCCGAAATAAAGCAAGAGTTTCTGGGAGTAGCATTAGGATGCAGCCCTCCCGCTGTGCGCACCAGTTCCCCCGCTCTGCACAGCTGCCTTCTCAGCTGGGGGTTTGAAATCAGCACTGTGAGGAAAGCCAGAAATGACCGTGAAGCTTGCCCCTCACTATGAGGAAAAGGTAATGTTCAATTAGCGTGTCAGCCTGCTGCTTCCTCGCTGACTTATTTCTGTCTGCTTGTTTGTTTGCTGTCGCTTTGACTTTTTTTTATGCTTCCTTTTCATTCAATGTAATAAACAGCCTAAACGGGAAAGTGTTTGGGCTGTGCTTGCGGGAGAGAAGCCGGCACTAACTGCGGCTTTACCAACATCAAGAACAGTGTGTGCATTGAAACCCACAGGGCAGAAGCGTGGCTCATGCTGTCCTGGCTAAGCCTCATGCGAGACAGTCAAAATACAGTTGAATGAGAAGAGCCAGCACTAAAGAAGCTTTTATGAATGCAAGGCTGAGGTGTAAAAGAGTCTTATTAGCCTTACCTGAGCCCCCACTGTAAAATGCCTCCCAGGGTGTTGATGGTGATATGTGTTTTACATGTGATCCAAGTATTAAAACCTATTCCTTTTCATCAGTTGGAGTTTTAGCTCTTCAGGCATAGCAATCACATTATCTTCATATGTAGTGCTTAAAAACAGTACTTGGATCATCTAGATAAAAATTTAAAAGAAATGTGATTCTATAGAATCCTATTCTTTAAAAGATTATATTATTCTACTTCTTAGGGGCAACAAATCCATGAGGGCCCTGAGGAGAATCCTTTCATCCTCTTTGAGAAGAATTTATTTTATCAGCACAGAGAGATCTGAGAAAAGGCTGATTCTGTGACATGAAAGTATATGTTGAATGTGCCAGTGTGTGCCCAGCTTGGCTTTCATTGTGTGAATTTCTTCTAGGATTTTCACTGGCCTTCTGCTTGGAAAACTGAATGATCTGGAACTAGAGCTGTGTCCTTAGGATGAAGTCCAGGGATTGACTATCTGGAGGAAACAAGTCAATTTTGTTGTATTTCAAATATTTAAACCAAAGCATTGGTTGTTCTTATTTTGATAATAGCTATATGTGAAATCATTTTAGCAGTCAGGTTCTGGGCTTAGTGGTAGACACAGAAGCTAGGCATATAGTCCCACTCCCAAGATTTCTGTAGTCTAATCTGTTTTATTGAGAGAAGATATTGGTGTAACATGTTGGAGAAGTTTGACAGATGCCATTGATTTTCACTCCGTGCACACAAATTTGCCTAAAGGTTAACTGCTCCACAATAGATGAAATTTGACATACCTAGCATCCCGTGTTTGTTGAATGCATATATTACACAAGTCACCATTACAAACTGAGATATAGCGAACAAGACAGCAGCCTTCCCCTTCATATAGTTTACAAGGTACAGAAAGCCTGGGAGAAAGAGGGCAAAGAGGTCCCAGAAATAGAAGCTGCTGCCCTGATCCTATGGCAATCATACGGTCCTCCTTGCTTTCATGTTGCGTACTTACCTGAAGGAAATGAAGAAATGTCAATAATGGCAAGTGGTCTCAGAGTGCCTGGAAGTTATTTTAAGGCAAACAACACAGACTGTGCAATCGCATAGTCCTTCAAATTCTATTTTAAAAAGTGTGTTCAGAAATGTTTGAACTGGTCCCAATGTGCAGGATTTTAAACTTTGTGCCTTCAGAGTGGTTAGAGATCTTAGGTGTTCTTTCTTGGCATTTATCTTGACTTGCTAATAGGAAAACTATACTGGTTTCTAACGTTTACTGAGATTGCTCTGGGCAGTAGTGACACTGTAAAAATGAAGATGTGCTTGCTGTCGATCAACTCTTCACCATGGATGGAGTTTGGTAGAATTCATATGTAGCTTCATGTAATGACTCTCATTTTTAATAACTAATTTTTATTGTAATACTATAGTAGAACAATCTTTACCTCTTTTGTGGGCTTATTTCTTCATTTCTATTTTATCTGTTACTCATTTATTGTTGTCATATACATTCATCTGTCTATCTCCATCATCTATCTACATTCCATAATCTATTATCTACCTATTATCATCCTCTATCTAATCTATCATCTATCTATCCTCTATTTATCTATCATCATTTACCATCTTTTAACCATCCATCTCCTATCCCTTTATCTTTTTAATATATATATACCCATATGTCTATAGACTATCTATATGTCATCAAGCTATACATAATTTATCTCTCTATATATCTATAATTTATTTATCATGCATATGCATATTTATCTATTTTCAAATAAGCACATAGTATTTTCAGCTTATACTATAGTACCTGCAATCTATTTATTAATTACCAGCCTAGGTAAAATAATTGGCAGCCCAAGTTCTCATGTTCCCTAGACAGCGGGAGTATCTGTATGTTTTAGACAGGGATGATCAGGAATGAGTGTAAACTTGCCAGGTTTTCTATGGAAAATTTTGCTTTGTCTGATGTTAGGACATGGTATAAGACAGTTTTGACATAATCTTAGGGTATCCTTCTCTCTTAGTTCTTCAAGGAAAATACTTGTTGGACATTGTAAGACTTCTCTGAATATTTTTGCACATATAGAATAATTGTACATATTTACCAGATGTGAGATGCTGTTTTCATAGACATGTGTCCTGATATTATCCCGTGTTTATTAAGCCACTCTAAGTGACAGTGCGTGGTTTTGTTTAGTGGAGAACATTCCCAACTGAAGCTGTGTACACACACCCAGGAACAATTCATTAGAGATTGTTGAGAGCAGAACATTATGTCATATAATAAAACACTTAACAATGAGGTTAGATGCAGTTGTGATACCAAAAAATCATGGTGATCATTTTACTTGGTAGTCAAAAAAGATTCAAAGAAATTTCTGCTATTTTTCCAAGATCTGTGACCAAATGACACATTTGGTATTTATTTTTCCCATATAAAATAAGGGATTACATTATTTCTTGGGTTCAGTTTTATGTAAATCTCCAAGTTCATTATGATAAACACATTCAAAATCCTTGAAATTATCACTATTTTTGAGGTTTTTCTTCCACACATTTTTGCGTGTGAAAGGCCACATTAACCTCTTCCTGTTCATGATGAGGACTCTATAGTAAGAGAGCTTGGTTGTGGATTCTGACCGTGTGATGTTTCACTTTAAACATGGGAACTGTTATATTTAGTTATTTACGTAAATTAGACACCTGGAAACATCTCCCAGGATGAGTTGTTTTCCTGACAAAGCTGTATATAACTTCAAAGATTTCTGTGAACATAAAACCCAGACAAAACATGAATATGGGTACATGTCCAAAGTACTAGGGTCCCCAGTTCTTTTGTGATATGAATATTGTCATTGAAGTGTTTGAAATTGCCATAAACACGTGCTATCAATGGCAAGAACAAAGTTTTAAGCTGATCTTGGGAGGAAAAGAGCACAGTAAATGAAATGTTAGTGTCCAGATGGAAAGAACGGGAGTCAATGTGAATTGAAAATTAATTACTGTTATTGATTTCAAGGTCGATTACAGCCTCCATGTCATCTTGCACTAACACTAGGCTGCTTGCACTTCCTAGTTGGAGTTGCTGCAACCCAGTTTTGTAACCATGACACCGGTTTAATTTCATTCTGTAATTTGGTTCATGTTAGGAACTGAGATGGGTAAGGAAACGGTTACTGTTATAGAGGTAACTATAACAGGGGTATACCAGAAGCAGAATGTTAGTAAGAAGCACAGATAATCGTGATAGAAGATAAGAGCATGGTGGGAGAATGACTGTGGTGTGTGTGTGTGTGTGTGTGTCTGCCTGAGTGTGTGTATATGTGTATGTCTGTGTGTGTCTATATGTCTGTGTGTGTGTGTCTGTGTGTGTATCAATGTGTGTCTGTATGTGTCTGTGTGTGACAATGTGTGTGTCTGTGTGTGTCAATGTGTGTGTCTGTATGTGTCTGTATGTGTCAATGTGTGTGTCTGTGTGTGTCTGTGTGTGTCAATGTGTGTGTCTGTATGTGTCTGTGTGTGTCTATGTGTGTGCCTGTATGTGTCTGTGTGTGTCAATGTGTGTGTCTGTATGTGTTTGTGTGTGTCTGTGTCTGTCTGAGTGTGTGGTATGTGTGTGTCTGTGTGTCTGTCTATATGTCTATGTGTGTGTGAGTGTCTGTGTGTGTCAATGTGTGTGTCTGTGTGTGTCTCTGTGTGTGTCTATATGTCTGTCTGTGTGTGTCTCTCTGTGTGTCTGTGTGTGTATCTATCTGTTTGTGTGTGTGTCTGTGTGTGTGTGTCTGTCTGTGTGTTTATGTGTGTGTGTCTATCTATCTGTCTATGTGTGTGTCTGTGTGTGTATCTCTGTGTGTCTATCTGTCTGTCTGTGTGTGTGTCTGGTGTATATATGTGTGTATGTGTCTCTGTGTGTGTCTGTATGTGTATGTGTGTCTATTTGTCTGTCTGTCTATGTGGGTGTCTGTGTGTGTGCGCACACGCATCATGAACACAGGCAAATACATGGGGTAATTAGAGTGAAACACGCAGCAATACAGAGGTTAAATCCCACTTCTGAAAGGAGGAAGAACTGCCTCATGATTGCCATTATCTCTTGATTTCCCAGCATAACGTGCAATGCCACCAAGGTGCTGACTACTGTTTAGGAAGGAGAGCTTCTTTATTTCTTTGAATCACCAGAGCATCTCTGGCAGTGGAGGAGAGAATAGGCACGGAAGCATTCCCCCTACATGCTGGAGATGGTTAGCATGGTTGTCAAGGAAACGTCCATACTCCTCAAGGTCACCTCTGGAAACAACTCCAAGATGCCAAGAGCAGATGAATAGACAAAGCTAAAACCTCAGCCTTCCCCCTCCCCAACACCCCATCCTGTTTTAAAATTGTTCCTAACAAACACTTGTTTATCTAATTCTGTGTGGCCTGGAGTTGTTAAGTGAGGCTGACCTTGCCCCAAGTCAGGACAGTAGTTTTCAAGTTCTGTTCTTTGAAGCTTCTGGCTTTTGGTGGGTATGCTCAACATAAGGAATGTGCTGGGCCAGCAGCCTGAAGGTAGATCAAAACCAAGTTACAAAAAGAAGCTCCCTTTAGGGCTGCATTTTTAAGAGATTCAGGAATGATCATCAATCTCTGTTTAAAATTG